TAATACACTAAACGTATCTTTGTTTAATCTTTGATAACAAAGAATTAATTCTTCAATTTCAAGATCTACTTAACAAAAAAAATATTGCTATTTAACAAACGTTGTATTAGAAGAAGAAATTAGAAATCAATTTATTCCGAGGCTCAATCAATATGTTTCGAACATTTATATAACAGTAATATTATTAATTTTATAATCTCTTTAGATATTTATATTTGCTTCATTTATAGAACTTTCCGATGATAATACTTATGAGATTGTTTTAACGAAGGACCAATTGTGTGGGTGAACAATAAAATAAACTATATTCGACTATACTTATATTTAACAATAATAATTCTATTCAACTAACTCTCAACTCATATTAATTCTTTTTTTGCCGTGCTTTTCTTCTTCAAGCCAAGCGTTTCTTTTTTTTCACAGTGTTGCCACCATTTTACATTGGCATACGTAACAAATCATCTCGGTTTTATGTCGATCAGAAAACCAAAAACTATCCACGATAAATTAAATTTTGCAATTTTTTGTCGTTAAATTTTGTCAATATAAAATATTGCAGATAGTTTTATAATAAATAGTTTAAAACCATTGAAACACAAACTATTTTCGATAAACTGCTTTACTTTCGTAAAATGAACAAAAAAACTGTTCCGTATTTCCATATTTTAATCTGTTTGAAACTGATGGAAATCTTGCTGTTTTAAAGTGATTTTCCATCATACATTTGGATGTTTAGTTAACGGACTGTTAACATGAAATTAGACATTCGTTTATATATATTAATCGAATTTTATTTCGGATTATCCTCTTGCATCTATAAACCATTTAATACGGCTTCGTGGCTAATTTGATTTATTCCTTCTTAAATTACAGCGAGGAAGGAAAATCTTGAATTACAGTATTAATTTAACTTTTATATTATTAATAGATTTAATAATGCAACATTTATTATATATAAACAAAATAAAAAATTAAATGTTTGAAGTTAAATGTATTTTAACTAATAACTAGAAATTTTTATAACGTCTGGAATGCTTCTATAATTATAAAATTTATTGCAAATATATAAATAATTACCTACAAATGCAAATTTTATAGATATATAAAGGAAATAAATTAATTAATATGTTGCGACATCTCGTGGATCATTAATGAATTAACAGTTTTGTAACCATCAGTGAATCCATAAATAATACTGTTTTAAAAGTTTAACATATGGCGCATTTTTTAGTACTTAATTTAATTTTAGTAAATAATTTAATCACTTTATATCACTTTATAAGAGAGAATTAAAAATATTTATCATTTTTAATATCATTAACTTATGAATTTCCATATAAATGTTGATGTAATTTATATATTCATAAAAACTTTTTTAATGGATATTCTAAATGTAGATAAAATATTTTAATGGCCAGTAATAGCTTAGATTCGTAAATGCTATGACCGACAAATATTTGTATTAGCTAGGCAGTTGGAACGAATCCAAAATGAAAAATGTTATAGAATTTGCTCACCTGGAAACGACACCAAATTCAATTCTAGTTCAATTACTCAAAAACAGATCTATTTTTATTTACAATTTTTTTGTTACCTCCCAAAAAGGTGTTATGTAAAAAAAATGTGTCAATGATGAGACAAATTTAGAAAAAAAAAAAGGTTGTCGATTGAAACGATAAAACGACGTAAAATGCTGAAAGCAAGAGAAAAAAATAAACGGACGTCTATTTGCGTTTGGAAAGTTATTTTGAAGTGCGGGTCGGTTACATAAAATTACAGAAGTAACAAACATAAACAACGGACTATTTTTGTATTATCAGCGTGAACATATGCATCTACACACTTGAGAAAAATTGTCCAATTTCGACTGGACGAAGGCCAATGGGAACGGCGTGAGAATTGTGCAACCGATTTTGTGCACAGAGGGTAGGGATACATCGATTCCCGGAAAAGGCACCCTTTCCTGCAGGTCTGTAAAACCTGGAACGCAGTTGTTAAGTCACGCGATTCGCGTTTGCAAGGGCATCAAACCAATTGCGATGCCCGACGGTTGGCACGAAAATAGTCTGCAAAGTCAAGGCTATGCACGACATTCAACAACTGAAAAGTACGTTTACTATTTATACGTCTTCTTGTACGTACAAATTAGAGAAACCTCAAGATCATCCAGCTTTTTTATATAATGATCGTCGACTAATAAAGGGATTTCCTTTTGGAAACTTGAAACTTTCGTTGAAACGAGTGTTGCCCAATACAAGCTACGTATTTTCGTTGGCTCAAATATAGATCATATTTTCGCAATTCCAAATAGTTTAGCAAACTGTTTGTTTAAATGAAAAACATTAAACATAATTTAAGTTTTACAAGCAACGTAGTTTTGTTGGCTCAAACATAGAGCATTTTAAATAGTTTTCTAAACTGTTTGTATAAATTAGAATTATGAAACATTTAAGTACATTTTTATAGTACATTATGTTGAAGTAATGTAGTAAAGTTAGTTGCTGCCTGTTTAAACGACAAATATTAAACATTACTTATTTTTTACTTTATTTTTACGTTATTTTTTTTTTGTCTCAAACACGAATCATATTTTTACAATACCAATAATAAATATGAATAAAAACTCAAATTTGAAAAAGTTAATTTAATGTATTTTAAATCGTATGCTAATGCATTACACGTAACTTTCTTTATTCAAATATAAATCATATAGATCAATTCCTACTTAACATAAAAAATATTACTATTTAACAAATGTTATACTAGAAGAAGAAATTAGAAATCAATTTATACCGAGACTCAGTCAATATGTTTCAAAAATGCCGATGAAGAGGATGTTAGAAATTAATTGCAATTCTAAAAAAAATAGTAAATAGAAAAGTGTTTCATTTAATACATACTTTAATTTCATGTAGAATTAATTATAAATTTGTTCATTAGGAAAAGAGATTGGCTGACTTTTTCGAACTGGAACTTTATTTGTACATATATAAGATAATTACATAAAACGCAGATAATAATTTAAGAGGTGTTTTTTTTAATGAAACGTATAATACATTTTTTTAAGTTTAAGCTTAATTGTGTATCAAAGCGATAATTAAGAATTTTTATTGCAACAAAAAAACAACAAAATGATAAAGCAAAAATGTAAATATAGATCATAATTTAAAATTCAAAATTATTAACTAATTATTTTTTTTTAAATTTTATGATTTAAAATCTAATGTTGCTAGTTTAATTTAGATAGAATTACATAAATACATGTTTATGTTCTCTGTTTCATTAAACTTACGTTTTATTTTCTTCAACATTAATCATATTTCCATAATTTCTACCAACATACTAATCCTTTGTTTAAATGAGAAGTGTAAAACAGAACATTAATTTTGAGCTAAATTGAGTATCAATTATGAGATGAATAAAACACTTCCCTGAGAAGTTAAGGACACTTTCCTCGTTTAATAAGACCGGAGTTGTTTGTCTCTTGTTCCTACAGAGATCCGAGGGATGAAAATCAATGCTGGGGATGCGAGAGTAGGTCACAAGGGCGCAACTTATTCAACTCGTGAACGCTTTCAGAGCGGAACAACGGAACACGAGACAGCGATGGAACAATATATTATATATCTATAAATGCTTGTACTTAAGTAATGAAGACTTGAACGAAGCATCCATGGAAACAATAGATTCGGTTAAATTGAAGATTTTAGAGTGTTTATGCATAGTTATCAATTTATCCGTAATATTTGTATTGCTCTTCAAATTTAATTAAATAAAAGATAATGAAATATACTATAATTACATGAGTTTGTGGTAACATATTTTTAGCATAATATTATGCTTTATTATAATTTATTTACTAGATTTTTATTGATCCAATTGATCAATCCAAAGATAATATATAATGCACCTTGCTTTACGACCAAGATACGTTCCAGCAAAGTTGGCCGTAATGCGAATCAATTGTTTTGATGATGCCATATAGGTATATATTACAATTACGTGATTTTAGCAACTTATTTTATATGATTTGTAGGACTACGTATAAAGCAGACTCCAAATTTATGTCGTATATTAATTCGATTTCACTATGTAGTTTTAATACACTGGATTATAAGATTCATACTCCAATTTAAAAAAAATAAAAATTACTCTAATTTGAAGAACATAAGAATCAAATTTATGTTATTTTTGTTTTATTAAAAAAAACATACAAGACTATAAGACGTATACCAATTCTAAGTCGACTTCTCTATACATTTATTATATACCAGACTATAAAATGTAACCTTAAATATAAAATTCTTTACAACAAAAAAGTAATATATTAACTTAATAAATTGATTTCTGTATGAATTTTTTACATCTTAGTTGAGTATTTCCATAAGATACACCGCGATTCTAACATTTTTAAATTATAGTTTAAAGTTGTTGAATATTATATATTTGTGCATTTCCATTATCAATTCCAAATTATTATTTTTTAACTTAAAATTTCTGATACCTCGTAGATTAAACGAGTTGAATAATATATATTTGTATAAATACAATTCGAATTATATTATATTCATGAGAAAATTATTAATTTTTATATTGTAGTTTAAAGGTGTTCAAATTGTAGATCACTGTTTCGGACGCAATTGTCGCACAGACGATGCTAATTTCTGTCGCTCAAACACTTTTAGTTTTGACATTGACGAAAGGAATTTTTATGTGTATGAACGCGTGCAAGTGACATAACTAAGAAACTAAATATATAGATATATATATATGTATGTATCTGTTGTGGGAAAATTATATATGGGACGGATGCAAATAATTTAAATATTAGGAATAATGGGCTAATCCTACTCCTCCGCAAATTCAAAACGGCTCTCCTAGACGCCACCAATTCACGTGGCCTCCTCAACTGGAAATTCCTCACGCGCATTACATAATGTCTCCCATACAATACGTTGACATTCGCTGCTTGCAATTCATGTGCTATAATTTCCTTCTAGGTGCTTTCTTGATACCGTTCTTCATCATGCTGATTTTGGAGGGAATTCCACTGTTCCTGATTGAATTGGGAATCGGGCAGAAGATGAGGCTCGGCTCTTTGGGCGTTTGGAACACTATACACCCTTGGTTAGGTGGAATAGGAATTTCGTCGTGCGTCGTCACCTTCTTCGTAGCTCTCTATTACAACGTTATCATCACCTGGTGCTTCTACTATTTGTTCAACAGTTTTCAGGCAACTATTTTTGAAATTTGATGTGGAATGAACGATTTTAAAAGTTTTCGTTTTACGCAGTACCCTTTACCGTGGTCCGAGTGTCCGAAAATAAATGGTACCGATATCGCGGAGTGCGCCAAGTCTTCGGAAACTGCTTACTTTTGGTATAGAACCACTTTGGATGCTGCGCCTTCGATCGATGATCCCGGTGCACCGAGATGGTGGATTGTCATTTGCCTTCTGCTCTCGTGGCTTATCGTCTTTTTCATCGTCATGAAAGGAATTCAGAGCTCCGGAAAAGTAAGCCAATTTAATTAAATTAATTTAATCAGATTAATCAATGGTATTTCTTTAGGTTGTTTACTTTACGTCAATGTTTCCCTATGTTGTCTTGACCATTTTCTTTGTGAGAGGAATAACATTGAAAGGAGCTAGTGCCGGTTTGGCCCACATGTACACGCCAAAGGTATTCAACATATAATTTTTATGAATGTTAAAATCCCTACAATAAAAGTTTAATAGAAGTTCAATAGGATTAACTACTGATATATTTATAGTTTCTACTTATATAGGTTAAAACAATTATTATTAATAAATGGCTATCGACCTTGGTCTTCCCTTTTTTGTCTTGTTCATGTTCATAGTTATAAAACTAATACTATTTTAGTTCAAATGTTACAATACAAATGTTTTAATAGATTTTTTTTCGGCAGGTGGAGAAATTACTAGATCCGACGGTCTGGCTAGACGCGGCAACGCAAGTCTTTTACTCCTTCGGACTTGCGTTCGGATCTCTCATAGCCTTTGGTTCATATAACCAACCGAAAAACAACTGCGTTCGAGACGTCATTCTAGTATCAATATGTAATGCCGTCACGGCAATCTACGCTAGCGTCGTAATTTTCGCCATCCTCGGTTTTAAAGCTATGAGCAACGTAGACAAATGTATCGACAAGTATGTTAATGAGAGAAATAATTATATAATTGGACTTATCGTTTCTCTTTTCATATTTTCAGCAACAAACTGAAAATGGTGGCACAAAATTTACTGGCGAACCATTCGAGCGAAGAGATGTACGAGAAGGCTTTCGACTTGATTTCCAACGAGGATAAAGTTCTCTACGGAATAGAGACTTGTTCGTTAGAGCAGCAGCTAGACGAGGTACGTATTTGCCAAGTTTTTTATTCGAAATAAATTTAAAATTTTAGAACGTGCCAAAATGTTTCTAAAATATTTTTTTAATTATTTGTATTAGGCGGCAGAAGGAACTGGGCTAGCTTTCATAGTTTTCACTCAGGCCATCGTCGAACTTCCCGGAGCGCCCTTCTGGGCCGTAATCTTCTTTATGATGTTACTATCTCTTGGTTTGGGTTCACAAATCGGTATACTTGAGGGCATGCTTTGCACCATTTTCGATATTGAAATCTTCAAGAGGATCAAGAAGCAATACGTCACCGGTAAATATATTGTTTTACTAAGAAAAACATTCGTCTGAATGAGGAAAATTGTTTCCAGGTGTTGTTTGCATCATCTGTTTCTTCGTTGGTTTGATCTTCACGACGGGGGCGGGAGAGTATTGGTTGAAGATGTTCGATTCCTTTGCTGGAACCATCGGGTTGGTTGTCGTCGCTCTCATGGAAATGATCTCTGTGGTTTACATCTACGGACACGAAAGGTTCACGCAGGATATCTATGAGATGACTGGTCACCGGCCTGGACTGTTTTGGCAGATAACGTGGCGTTTCCTCGCGCCGCTTATCATGTCTGTTATCCTCGTTTCATCTATCGTGTTTATGGCTATAAACAATCCCACGTATCAAGCCTGGATTGCTGATAAGGTTTGAAAACAATTTTAGAATAAACCAGTTTGCAAATTTTGGTATTTCCAAAAAACGGATGAATCTTTTGGAATTACATAAATATATAAAATCAAATACTAATCCTCACAATTCTTCAGTTAATTTAATATGAATGGAACTACAAAAATATAATATAATAAAATATACCAAAAAAATAACTGAAATCAGGAAAAACTATCATTGGCTGAATTTTGTTATATTGTTTTAGGATCTCAAAAACTGAAATAAAGCTTGTATTTTTGCTAATAATAAATAATTTTGATTGTAGGGAGAGGTCGTCGAAATGCAGTACCCAAGTTGGGTAATGACTATTGCCGTAGTGATGATCTGTGCCGGAATTCTGCCCATTCCGATCGTGTTCCTACTGCGAAGGTATCAATGCCTGAAGATGGATATCAACATCCATGAGGGTTCCATCAGGCGTATTGATACCACAGTTTCCACCAAAGAAATGATCACCGACGTAGATGTAAGAAATACCCTCTTTTAAACCTAATCTTAACTCTGAACATAAACCTTAACACCCTAATAAGTGTTTCTATGTCGCTCGTAATGTGCTAACAAAATTTAATTACATGTGTTTTTTTTCTCTTTTGTGTAATTCGATTTGCTAGGAGCAATTAACAAGTCCGGACGGACCGTGTCTCACTGCTACAAATACACGCAAAAATAAATTCACTATTGGAGACTTTGAAGTCTAATGTAAGTACTGCTTGGTAGAATGGTGACATTTTTGTATATATTTTTGAGTTTTGCTTTCAATGCACTATATTCTGAATCTATTGGCATCTAATATTTAAAATAAACAATCAAAACAGAAATTTTTATACTCGTCGTATATATGTACGGGACGAAGCGCTTGAGAACCGATGTTCCATTTATAAGTTTTTTGCGAAAATTGAGATTGAGAAAATTTGGAACTATCAAGCATCAATGCGGTTCTCAAACATAAATTTAAGAATAAGTTATGTTCGGAAACCGAAACTATTATATATTTCGTACATCTTTTGTATCTGATTTTCATTTTTCTCAATGGGAAATAGAAATACTGTTTGGATACCGATGTTCGGGAACCGGAGCGTTCGAAAATCAATGTTCTTTGAACAAGTTTTTCCACTGTTTAGAAGATTCTAAAACTATCAAACAGTTTATGAGAAGCTAATAGATTTTGATGTATACTGTTGCTTTTGTGTGCTTTATTTCGCTTTGTCCGCTTTTAACTTAGATTTTAATTAAAACAATAACTTAGTTACAAAAGATAATATATTATTAGTGTACTTTACATATTTTAATCAATAATAGCTGAACATATTTTAGATACTAACATCTATAGTAATAGTCAAACTCGGTAATAGAATTGAGCGTTATTTTTCAAAGTACATATTACAAGTACATCAATTTGGCAACTTAAAAGTACTATTTGAAATAGATGTAATTTGTGAAATAATAAAATTTAATTATTCAACAGGTATTTGACAAGTATTTAAAAGGAATTCTAGTTATTAGATTACAATCATATGCTGTTAACCAGCTTCAACTACACCAATTGTTTACATAGGTTATATATCGTTATTTTGATGTCGAGTTGATTGCAACTCAGTTTGATTTATTTATTTCATTAGTTTAATTGAGGTTCTAATATTATTGAAAAGTTACGCATTGAATAGGTTAATGATATTTAACAGAATGACTAATTGTGTTTGTGTTTCCGTTTAGCTGAACGACTCAGATGACTCTGATGACCGACTTCGGAACTTCAATGATGATGATCGCGATGACAGCGACGACGATGATCCCAGAGTCAAAATGAATCGTTTAGGGAAGGCCTTCCGCATGGAAGTCATGGATGATTATTGAAGAGATGTCTGTTAGCTTTAGCCTGTTCTCAACAAAAACCCAACAAACCAAACATAACAACAACACATAATTAAACACAAAATAAAAACATAAACAAAAAAACAGTTAGAAGAGAAAGTTAAAAATAATAGTTAGAGAAGCGCGGGTGCGAGAAAATAATAATATAATGAAGTGTATAAAAAAAAAATAAGAGAATATTATTACGAGTTATGTAATTCAATAAAATTTGTGATATATATTTTTTACTAAGTTACCAGGAGTTAAAAGAAAGATTACAAAAACGGATTATGTAAGAGATTTAAATGGAAGAGGGAGTGTTCTGTGTCTACCTTTGTATTTATTTATTAATTTTCGAACTATGTTTCACACTGTAAATAGAAAACTCACTCTCCCTTGTTTGTTTGTTTTTTTTTTCAATGAAGATTTATCGATGTAAACGAAAACAAAAAAAACTAACGATACAATTCCATGAGCTCTCTATTTTCTATGTTCTGTTTCCCCTTTCAATTTAAAACTTATCTCATGTATATTTTGAAGGGCATCTCTTTGAATCCATTTATGTAATATGTAGATGGAAAAGGTAAAAGTGAAAAAAAAAAATACACACACACAGAGTATTGTTGTTAAACCCTAGTTGTTATGAACAATCGATGTAATATTTGTAAATAGTGTAAATAATTAAGTACTTATAATATTTAGATGTTTAATTATAGAGGAGGAAGCTTTACCTAATTTAGTGATTTCTGATTTGCGGAGGAAATACTGTATTTCGTGAGGGAAAAGAAAGTGATTTTGACCGGTGGCCAGATATTTACTACATACAAGTAAACCTAGATGAATTAAATAGCGACGAGTTTAGGCGTTACAACTAGAAGAAATTTGAACTGCGGATAGGTAGAAAACAATGATGTTGTGTTTCGTTCTCGAAATTGCGCAGATTTTTTTGCGAAATACGAGATGTCTTCGTATAAGATTTGTTTTCGAATTTACGAGTTCTATAAAATACTATTATATTAAAAAAAAATGAAAAGAAAGATAAATAAGATCAGTTTGTAATTAACGTAAGATGAGTTTGCTGGAGAAAATCCCGTTCGTTGAAAACTAACAACAAAAAAAGTATTGAATCGAAACAATAATTTAGAAAAAAAAATAGTATGATACTCGTTGTTTCTTTTTTCATCCTAATAAGTTAAGTTATAACGAAAATTAATATATTTTATTAACACATTTTCTCTCATTTCTTTCTTATTTACAATTCTTGATTTAGAGCATTTATTTATATCATTTTCATCGTTATTATTTTGTTTGTTTATTATTTCAATAAAAAATAACGTTTCAAATTTTTACTTGTTTCCTTATTTATTTGACGATGGGAAAGATGTGATGTTTAGGAGATGATCGTGTGATATCGCGCACTCTTTTTTTTACACATTACACGCACTCAAAGTAGACTCAATGACGATATTTATTGATATGTATGATATATAACAAAGATGGAGAATATGAAATAATTGTTAATATGTGTGCCTATTTAAGAGAAATATTTATAGTTATCTAAAAGAGGCTTATCGTGATTGAATACAGGTGGTTACTGTCATAACAAGTGAGAACACATTTTTTAATTGAATATATATTAGATTATAACGAGATATAATATATTTACGAGATTTCGTAAATTAAGAATCACCTTTTTTTTTATTAACAAAACACAGTAATTCATATATTGTGTCAATTATAATTAAAATTGTTTCATTTCAATTGGAGTATAACTCAATATTAAGTCGCAAAGTAAAAAAAAAATATATTAATTAATTTTATTTTAATTGAAATTCGTTATTTTAAGAGTATTAAATATTCTGTAAATGGATGTACGGCATTTAAATAAATATTTTAAAATGAAAATTGTTAAATGCGTTTATATGAATGTATTACATTAAAAAGAAACAGGCAAAAAAATCATTGACTTTATTTAGTTTTATTACTATGTTTTGTTGAAGCGATTTTATCAATATAAGCACACATTTTACGATAACTTAGTGTACGTTTTTTTATGGGAAAGAAGACAATATTCAAGGACTTTAAATGACTTTTAGAAAGAAAAAGAGAGAAAGGAAACTTATTTTGGATAAAAGTGATTTTTTAAAGTAATTATTTGTAATAATATTTTTTTGTCTAAATCTAGTAATGAAATTATTTAAGTGTATAGGCCCAAATTTTAAGAGATACTTTTTAAATGTTATAAAATATATATCATATTGCATATTCGATTGGTGATATTAGAGTGAAGTTTAAAGATAATGTAGAGTAATTCTCATTTATAAGCCAAAATTAGTTCCAATAATATAATCCACGTTTGTTCACTTTTACATACTTTTTTTGTATTTATAATTATTTTTTAAATCAGGTTTCTGTGTCGAAATATCAATTTCCATTGAAACTCGCAGATGTACCTAAACTCGAAGAAGCTCCTCGTGCAACGAAATTAAAAGAATTGTTTTAAATTTAATTTATTTTGTGTTCATAATTAAAATAATCCAAAACAAATAGGTTGCATCAATGTATCCTCCACTGAGTTCGTATTTGTTAGATCTAGGCCAAAGTTAAATTAATATGGAATGGTAAACCTAAAAGAATGCTCACAGACTACAATAATATTCTCTATTTTAAGTAGCGGACGAAGAAACTAGTATTTGTTAAAAATTACAAGTAAGAAGTTAGCAAGTTGTATGACCTTATTGAAATAAAAAATATATATTTACATTAATAAAGTATATATATATATATAAATAAAAATTATAATGAGACAAGGCTATAATTGTTTAATTTATCAGAAGTTTATTAATTAACAATGTTTTTGATTTTTTGAAAATATTTCAATTCGATAAGAAAACTGTTATATTATGGATGCACCCTAAAAAATCTTTTATATTGTTAATGAATAAATGTGACTTTAGACAATTATACATATAGAATTATTATTGTACGCTTATATTGATGAGATTCGACTGGATAAATTGGGGTGTTCAGGGTTGTAATTTGTTTCGTAATGAACGAGCACGTTACAAGCATCCTGGACGTTGTCTTAATAGAAGTTATTATTATCCTTGCATGAGTTGTGTGCATTACTATTATTTATGTCAAGCTTATGTCTATATATAAACTGTTGTCAATTTTTGGTGCTCAAACTTGAAGATTTATACATTTTCAACGGGTATTCCCATTTGTTGACCGTAACTATATGTACGTTTTTTTTAATTGCATTAATGTTTCTTGTCGTACTCGGCGCTAGATGGTTTAGCGAGTTAAGACTGTGCCGAATTTGGTTACTGGTAATGATTTTCTGTAGAATAATGGATGAATAAAGAAATTTAGTATAAATTAACATAAAAGTTGTTCTTTTTTATTACTGTATTATTTTGAATATGCGATAAGAAAAACGTTATATTGTTCATTTTATTGAACAATAATTTGATATTGCTATTAACTTGATTATTAAATGTTTATTTGGTCCCGAAATGACAGATGTCACCTTGCGTCAAAGCGAGTAACTGGTTGAATACTCGCTGTACTACAATTCTACTTATTATTAAGATAGGATAAAGTTAAATTTAATGATATTTTTGATTTAGTTCTATTAATAATTAAAAATAATTTAATATCTTATGAAGAAGATAATGGATGATTAAATAAGTTTAGTTCAAAATAATCTGAAACTTGTTTTTAGTAATGCATTATTTTGATGTTGACAAATAAAATTTATTTATATAAAATTTAACGACACGAGGAAGTTGAATGAATTTCTTTCTATTTGTGAAAGAGAAAACCTATCATAATAAATAAAGAAATATTGAAGGTTACGCAGAACTATACAATACCTAAATAAATTTATTGATATCTATAACATTTATAGTTACACAAAATTTGGAGCCCGATTCATAGCTGTCGAGGATTTTAACGCTAAGCACACAAAATGGGGCTGCATACTAACCGCAACATAGGTTCGAGGGCTTTGCAGGACTATACAATCGCAAAACCGGTCTTACCTGTCCTTTGGTAAACTAACCAACTGGACTACAGCCTCCAACTATTACTTGTGGAGAGCAAAAAAAACATGAAGCAGTCAAAATGAGAATCGGCACTCAGGAGATTGCTGGACTGTAGCTGGACGAGATTTGAATGGACAAGGCCGAATTGTTGGCTGACCACCTGTAATCGACAATGCGATCCAGGATGAAATACAGCAGTACCTTGCTTCGCCATTTGGCAATAACTCACTTCAAGGTTAAGGAAGTGGATGCAATTATGCGACTTGGATGCTTCCAGGTCAGTGGAAAGTTGCCCAGATAATACTGATTGATAATGCCAGAAAACCAGCGAAAATGCATTCCTCCTATAGACCCATCAGCCTCCTGCCGGTTATGTCAAAACTGTTCGAAGAATTAATTATAATTAATAGAAAACAACATCATTCCGAATCACCAATTTGGGTGCTCCATATAGGGTTGTAGATGTGATTGGAAGATCCTTGGAGGAGAAAAACTATTGCTCCGCTGCTTTCCTTGATATCTCCTATGACTTTGACAGAGGGTTATATGAAGGGCTGCTCTACAAACTGAAAAGATACCTCTCAAGTGTATACTACGATATATTCCACAAGCTGAATGAGGAGATAACATGCCTACGTTCAGTTTTCTCCGGGGTAGCTCAGAGTAGTGTTTCGGGGCCCTTATTATATCTTTTATTTACTTACCAACATCGCAGCACGTTACTGTGGCTACTTTCTACATATGAAGATTTCGTGAGTGCGTGTCTTGATTGTGCATGTACGGTACCTTGAACGTGATTACGTTAATGTTAGTTACTGGACCAATCCCACTGTGAAATAGATGGCTGAAAAAATAAACGAAGGATAAAGTTGAATTAAACTCTTTTAATATGTCTCATAGAACGAAACATTGAAATTCATACTCGGACTTCAAGTATTGGAGATTGAAAGTATTCTAAAAGAGAAAGAAAATAAATTGGAAAAGATTTTTTTTTATGTCGTGTAATTTTATTTACAATCTGTTCGTCAGTGTGAACATTGAGTAAATTTAAGATCGCGGTTGACATTAGGTAGGTAATCTTTGCCGGTGAATAGTTACCATTATGATGATTGATTGGAAAAGATGAGATTGAAGCTTGTCGATATCCTGAAGAAAGTACAAAAAAAATGAATATATATTGTTGTATCCCAAGGATGGAATATTGAAATATTGTCTGGTGGAAAAAGTGAAATATTGTCTGGTGTTCTCATTGTGGAGTCACAGTTGTAGGAATTAAATAAATCAATTGGTTTTAAACAAGTTTATTAAATAATTAGTACTCTCGGGCAGAAAGACCTATTGACCCTTTGTATCAGTTGACTTTTTTGAAATTATATATATTTATTTTGTTCTTTTTATTTTTTATTTCTGTATATGTTTTTTTGTACGACTGATGCAATGAATAGGGTTGTTTCTAAGACAATGTAGATACGTTAACACTTTGACTTACCCTCAAATGTTCTGCTGAGACTAATTTTAAATACTTATTCTACTTACAAAGTTAATTCTTATTATTACGGGGTGGGAATTGTGATTGTAAGTAGGGCTTCAATATATTGACGATTAAGGACTTAAATTCTTGAGTACTTCGACTCAAAAAGGTATATGAATATCGATGGGATTGTTTACGTTTGGTCCCCTTTGTTTATATTAAAGTGTATCGAATCGGGATCACTATGGAGGTTCTTTTTGCTGTTGTATATGTTTAAACAATGAGACGACTAAGAGACGTCGTGGATGTATCTAGTTCGTTAATACACTATATTAACAATAATAATTGTAATAATAATAGTTGGACACAACACCTCCCTCGTTGCAGAAGAATAAAATGACGAAAAAATCTTAAAATAACAAGTGTTGTTATACATTATTGAGAATATGTTTAGTATGAATGTAGTTGCTTCGTAAGAAATTCATAACAATAAATGTAAGTTTAGTTTTATGTTTTAAAATTATTTTACATAATTATACACTTGATCAATTTAATCTAATAGTATAGTTACATCTTATATTTAGTTAAAACTAAATGAAACTCTATCATTATAAATTAATCTTATCGAGAAGAAGCAATGAAAAAAAAAATAAAAGAAATATTTTCATTACAAATAGATAAACCTAAAACGAAGGGTTATTTTGTTTGTTACCTCACATTTTATCTTATCAATTTGAAGTATCATGTTATTGGCGCAAAATTTTACGCACATATTTTATAATAAATAAATTTGGATTCATCATATTTGTAAACTATCTCTACGTAATTTGTTTACCAAATACCGCACACCCTAGTTTTCATTCTACCATTTTAATACATAGGAGAGTCAGTCTCTTTAGCCTTGCGCAACGCAACTATCAGCGTCACGTACATATGAAAAACTAAATGCAATTACTTACATCGGCGTTTTGAATCCAGTAAATGTTGCATAGTAAACTCAAACTTACTGTTAACAGTAAATTTATAATAAAATAGTAATGTTAATGATAGACTAAATTTGAAACATTGTAGTGAAAAGTATAGATATAATATATAGTTGATTAAATATTGGTAAGTTTATCTTTCTATCAGTTAAATATATCCATAAAATTAATTGTTATTTATATAGTAATTATTTAAATTATTTAAATAGTATTGGCAAATGTTGTAATTTTAAATATATTTAATTAAAAATTAATTTATTATTATTTATAATACAAAAAAGCATATATTATGTATAATATTTTTTTACATCTTTAACGATTTGTCGATTTTTTTCTGAAAGTAATAATAGATATTTATATTCGAAGTCACGTTCTCACACTTGTTTTTACACATTACATACTTTGTTTATATATTGTTTTAAATGTTTTTAACTTGTAAATATATTACGCATGAGTTTTATAAACCATTATGATTTATCAATAGATTTATTAAATTGGAATATAAAAAAAGAGTTATTAATATTTTATGCTTCATTATCTTCCTGACATACAAACATATAGTTGACATTTAGAAAATCATCGGACGTGCACTGAGCTTTTATTACTTTGGTATTAGTAGACTACATTCATAGGTAAACTCAAAGTAGTGTTCAAAAATAAATAAAAACTATAAGGATTTATACATTTAAGTATAGAAAATGTAAGCACTACCATGAATTAATTTTATTCATTATTTAATATTATTATTATATAGTTTATAAGATCGATATTTCTTGAATGGATAATTTAAACTCATTATTAATTTTGAAAAAATAAAATTTTGATAAGAATTTCTATGTAGAAAATGATCGTATTCATTGGAGGAACTTTTAAGAATTTTAAATGATATTTTCCTCATTAATTAGCTAATTAATAGTTATAAAATAAAAAAAAATATATTAATAGGCTGGCCAAAGAACTAACGACCGAGATCTTTCCGACCAGGAACATAAATTTAATTATGGAATAATACGATATTTTAATAACAATAATATACAAATGAAAAACAGAAGAATGAGGAAAAAAGCAGCAGAGTAGAAACAAATGTGAATCAATCGAGGGACATTAGGTATTGGAATAATGGGATAATGTGGGATATTTAAATTTGGGAAGGATATTTGGGTTTCGAGGGACACATAATTTAGAGAGGGAGGCTATGTTGGACTGTTTGGATTTAAATTTCAATGAGAGGGACATGTATCGGTCGAGGAGAGGGACTATTTTGGTTTTGGAGTAAAGGAGACCATTAGGAGGATTAGAATGTCGTATTTTGGTGAAGATACGAAGGGAATTTTTTAATTTAATTGAAAGTTTATAAATCTTTTGTATTTTTTCATCCAATGAATAATAACTTTTACTGTGGACAAATCTCGTTTGATACCGAACTAATCAAGGTACTAAATAAAATTGAAATAAACTGCAAAAAAAGAGAAAGGCAAAATTAAACCTATATTTATGTTAAAAAAAATAATTTTGTGTAATGTTTTTTTAGAATACGTGTTAACTTAAATTAAGATTGTTTTGAAATTTTCAAACCAGACTATAGTAAATCCGAACTGATCGAAGCCGGAATATGTATTGCCGGAGGTATTGCTGTACAATAAATTTTACGTTAAATTAATATAATGTTCAACGAAAATACTTGATTGATTTTCACTATGAATTAATAATAAACAAAAAGTATTGTATAACTAAGTAGAAAGGGCTATTGAATTTAATAATTTATATTATCTATTAAAGTAAGATAAAATATTCAAGGTTGTATAGAAAATAAACAATTTATTAAATAATATAATTTTAATTGTTGGATAGTATTTAGTTTCTAATATTACTCATTATTTTAAAAATCTCCACCCTTGTTTGTTTTAAGTAATTCCATTGTTTACTTATGATATATTTATAGAACTATTTCATGGAAAAACATTTTTCCGATCTTATCTAATCTTATCATCTTCATAAATATAATCAGAATTTTTCAGCATTTCAGAATGGTTTAGAATTATGCAATATGAAAATGCAACATAATTTACTTAATCTTCGCTTAATCTGAATGTTAGATTTTTAACAATTCCTTAATGAGATTTGTTCTTTACTTTGGACATTTTTTAATACATAATAATTTTCAATAATTCTTTGATCTTTAAAATAAAAAAAAATATATACAAAACTTTCAGAAATTTTAAAAATTGAAAATTATAAATATAAAAACTTACATAATTAAGCAAATATTTTTAAAAGTATGTATTATTATAAAAAATAGACTTTTTTCTTCAAATATCAAATTTACAACTGAAAAATTACACAGTTCTACCATTTTGGAGTTTAAATTGATTTTATGAATAAGTACATATATTTTTTAATAATTTTATTAGAAATCAACCTTTGAATTTTTGATGAAATCTATATACTTTTGGTGTTCTTTCTAAAAGTAACAACTTATTCTAATTACGAAGTACCCTTATACTAGCAAACTACATAGACACACAAGACAATTTAGTGTATATGTTACTAATGCAAAATAAAAAACCATTATTGTTTTTGAACAATATAAATTTACCAACTTGAAAATAAAACCATATTTTATGAATATTCTTCAAATTATTCTGTTTAATTATTATGCTAAAAAATACATTTTATAAAAAGATTGAATTTACAAATTTATTCGAAAACAAAAAGTAACACTTTATAAAGTAAAGCATACATTGTTTTGGTAATTGTAATTTGTATTTGAACATGCATAACGATAACTAATTGGAAATTAAGCGATATAGTTTTTCTTTATCTAGTAAGTAATTAGGAATATGACCCACTTCCACCGCAATCAGTAAATTGTTCGCAGGTTTCTACATAGGTGTGACACACACTAATTTACCTAAAGCAATATTAAATTCACAAAAAAATAACGAAGTGTTTATTAGGGGAAAATGTGTTTTTTATTATTATTATCCAACAAAGCAGTTGACATTGCATTTGAATAATGGTAATAACACGCGATGCGGCTTTGATTAAAATCCGTACAAGATAAATGCATGCAACGGATGGATAATTACAAGTAATGTCTCGCTAATTAATCAAGGCTGAATGCATAAAATGCGAACAGTTTGCGTTAAGCGGATCGTAACGGAAGATCGGGATTGAAACATCAATAGATTCAACAATCCTCTTTTTGATGATGGTGATGATAAAACCAGAGATAATAGCATCCGCGTTTTCCGTTCTAGGATCGATGCAATGAAATATTAAAAGATATCAATCGATATATTGGCATAAAATGAACTTAAAACCATGTGCATTTTCCGGTCGTTAATCGCGTTGTGAAGTTTCATAAAAAGAACCATTAAAATGCAGAGTTGCAAAATCTGATTTTTAAAATATTTAGATTAATTTGAATGAAGTGCGCTGTTCTCGGGTTGAGAACAGAACATATCTGTTTAACGTGAAAGAACGCTTGCATTTGCGCCGGACATTTTTATAAACTATTGGGAACTGTTTCAGATGACACATTAGTCGCGTCCAGTGATGGATGGGTTTCAGGTCAGGTTTTGCGGCGAGGGATACGAGCTTAAGGATTTCTTGAAGTTTCATCCGGGTGGAATCAACTATCTTTCTGGATACAAAGATAAAGATGTTGGTTTGCGTATGGAAAGTACACAACATTCGCAGTCCGCTTTCTATCTTTTAAGAGAGTATCGGGAGGGTGGAAGAAACATTGAGATGTTTAAAGAAAACGAAGATTTAGAGGTAAGACAATAATATAAATTTCAATAATTAATTATTCATTCATTGATTATGGGTTTCGTATACAAAAATGTTTTTAGCAGTAATTAAGGAATTTAATTTGATAATAAAATCTAAATCTATTTTTCATTTTCATTTATAAGTTGATATTTTTCAATTACTAAAATATGAGATTTTTTAAGCAGAAATGTTTCTTTGTGTATTACCGTGGTGATGTATTAGCTAATTATTAGTTAATCTGAAAAAAAAACTTAGATGGTTAGATGCTTAAGAATTTTTGTTTTATTTTTTATAACTACAGTGAAACGCCGATGATCCGGGTCTCAATTTACCGTGGTTCGAGTTAACCATGGTCGCGGCCGTTTTTGTGTTTACTTATTTTATATGCTAAAGAAAAAAAATTGTCTGTGAAAATCTGCCGTTAGTAGATAAGTTTACAAGGAAAACAATAAATTACCTTTGAAATGTATTTTTGTATATTAATACATAGATATTAAGTTTTTTAAGCAAATTAAAGCGATGTTTGTCTTAACCGTGTTTTTCAATTATTCCCGAATTAACAGGGACAATCGGCGTTTTACTGCGCATTTAGTTTTAACTAACGAATTTACTAAATACTTTAAACCAGCGGTCGGGGAACTTTTTTAACCATTACCCCAAAATATTATTGCGTAAGTCGATATTACCCCTCCCATTCTGAATTCATGAAACAATCAATGTAAATTTTAAATAAACAATATTTATTGAATTAATTTACATTTACATATTTATAAAAAAAAGTTACATGAAAATAGTAACAAATAGTAATAGACAAACAAAATAGAATTCTTAAATTGGAACAAACAAAAATTAATTGAAAACTTTCCCCCTTCAGGTTTTGAAAAAATGATGTTGCTTTATGTTTGATATAATTACTTTAAAATTGGGACTTTTTGATGTAAGAGCAATTTGAATACAGTCTTCGGCGTTTAATCGATTTCTGTTTTTGTTTTTATGTTCATTAGAGTCGAAAAGCCTTATTCACAAAGGTAGGTTGTTGCAAATGGCAGCAATTTTTTTACCGCCTCCTCATGTGCAATTTTGAAAACCTTTGCAGCCTTTGACGACATATTTGCTTTAGTCTCAAATTGAATACAGTATTGAATGAAAGTTCAAGAATTGTCTCTGCCAAACCTCGAGGTTCTTCTGGCATGTTAGTAATTTCACATTCAAAAGGATCTAAAACCCAATTCACAGTTTGTACATCAAGATCTAAAAAGTAGTCAGAGAACCGCTCTCTGAGTTTGGTAAGATAAAATTAGAAAAATTTCCCTATTACCCCATTTTGGGTAATTTACCCCGGTTCCCCGACCGCTGCTTTAAACAGTTATAACTTATATACAGTGGAACTTCGCTTAACGAGTATAATCCGTTCCAAAATTTCCGGATTTTTACTCGTATAGTAAACATATTCAAAAATACATATAATATGTGTACACAAGTTTTAAAAATGGGACTTATCTTCTCATCGTTATGCGAAACGTCGCTCGTTAAGCGAGTTATTTTTCTTACAATTATTTTTGCTCGTTATGCGAGGTGCTCGTTAAGCGAGGTTCCACTGTATATATTAACACATATAATATAAATATGTTTTTCAATTGCCAAATGATGGTAGTTTTTAATGAGAATTTAATCAGATAATTAGAAAAATATGCCCTTAAATGTAATTGTAAACCAAATAATCATGTTTGATTATAAGGCATAATATTCCTAAGTATAGATTTGATATCAATTTGTCAAATCTATTTAACTTGAGTCCACAAATTGGGTTCTACGAAAATAGTTCATAAGAATTTTGATCGAATGGAAAAATATTTTAAGATTACAATAATTCAGTTAATATATATATAAATTATATTATTAATATATTATATAAATATTAAATTGTTTAAAAAAATCTTGGAGTTTACCTTAAAGATCATTTCAAAGTTTATGCAAAATTCATTTCGAATGTCGTTAAATTTATATTGAAATCAATTTGTATATGTATAATTATATATACAGTGAAATGAGCACCTCGCATACCGAGCATTTCGCTTAACAAGTAAAATAAATTGTAAGAAATATGACTCGCAAAATGGAACGCATTATCGTATATTACGTTAGTTTATATGGGAAAAAATGTTTCACTATACGAGTAAAAATTTGTGTTTGTATTCACACTTTTTCAATGCAAATTTAAATTGGAACTATAAATAGTAATTTTCTTATTAATAGTTCATGTGAGGAATTTATACTTTATACTAGTGATTTTATTCCGGGAAGATTCTCGATTGTCCTTATTAATTGAAGCATTAAATCGAATGCGATTTAACCAACTGTTACACATTACCATATATTTTTATTAAACGTCGACCTAACATTCAAGGATGCATCATATAATTTATTGCTAGTGATAACGCTAATTGTCATTTAGCCAAGATAAATAGTGCGATAAATAGAAATTAATGGTTTTTAGTTGTAATATTTAATTTATCGAGAAATGCAAATGAAGATTAATTATTGTTCAAAAAGTTTGTATTAGATTTGCTTAATTATATAAAAAGACACAATTTAATTATAGCTATCAATAACATAAACTATTTAATAAAAATAACATTAGTTTTCATAGTAAAATTACCATTTATTCCTTAATTAATTGCAATTACGTTAATTGAAATATTTGGTACGTTATTATATTGTTATACATTTATTCAATGAAACGTTGGTTTCTAAACAATTCGGATCTCGGAAATAAAACAACGTTTCGGTTGCCAAATTATGATTTAAAAAAAAATAAACATTTGTACCAAAAAAAAATGTACATGGCACTTGTTGCAAAAAGTCTGACATTCCCTGTAATATAATATAATATTCAGTAAAACCTGAATTATAAGGATCATGGCCCTTTGGCCAGCCTATTGATATATATTTTTATTATATGTTAAAATTTATTTATGTATAAATTGTACTTTTTTCTTCTTCTTATGTATTAATGTTTGGCCAATAAATTATTATTATTATTAAGAATCATGAAATACGAGAGAATCTTTGTATCTTAACATAGTCTTCTTTTAGCTCGATACACTTTTCCCAGCGATGTTCAATATATATTAAACACTGTTTATAGTGAGAACCACACACTACACACACTACATCTCTTTATTGTTGGAAAATATTTTACCAACGAGCCATTTTTTAAGTTTGAGAAAATAATCCGAATGGGCTAAATTTGAAGAATGCGTGAGGAAGCAATTCGAACTTGACTCATTGATTTTGGACATCGCGATAACGGATGTGTGAACTCATATATTGTCTTGATTGAACGTCTTGCACAGCTTCCTCATCTCCAAATTTTCAGTGAATATGCGATGTATAGCAGTTTTTGAAATGCCTACCATGTCTGTTAGCTCGCACACTTTTAGTCGATGGTCATCCAATACTATTTTGTGGATTTTCTTCACTACTTCTGGTGTGGTCACCTCATTTGTTTGAGCACTGCGATGTCCATCTCGGCAACTCGTACGACCTTATGAGTACCAACTTGTACCAATTGACAGCCGCAATTACTCATATTATAGTTGATACAGACAAAATTTGTTTTATTATAAATTTATAATTAGTCGTTATTTAAATACACATATATTAATAAATAGTTTCCTTCACAAGGTTAAAAAAATTAAATGCGGTGGATGCGCTGGGAAATTCCGATAATTCTCCAACAATTTCTTCAATAATAAATTAGTAACATATGTTCACATACAAAGGACTCACTATGTAATAAATATTGCTAATTTAATGAAAATTCTTAGCCAAGCAATCAATAAATATACATTGAAATATAAATTAAGTTGTTTGAACCAAATCTTTGGATTCCTCTTAAAACACTAAAATTAAGTTGCTTATAATTTTTTATTTAATTTCAGCAATATTTAGGTATTTTTAACGTTTTTTTACAATTTAAATAATCACATAAATGTGCCGGTACTCGTAAGTACAATCAGACGACAAAAGGTTAAAGGAAAAGTGAACTATTAATTCATATTAATAAATATAAAATTATTAACAATACAGTGGAACCTCGCTTAACGAGCACCTTGCATAACGATCATTAACGAGCGACGTTTCGCATAACGAGTGACGATGAGAAGAGAAGTCCCGGATTGTGCGCCTGCTACATCATTTTTAAAACTTGTGTACACATATTTGTGTATTATTGAATATATTAACCATCTTCGATTTTCTTTGTCATCTTTGTTTAAAGCTGACTGTACTTTACAAATATAATTTGTGTTTGCTGAAAATGCAAAACACAATTGTATTGTGTCCAATAATGATTATAATATACTATGTACGCTTTTTTATATAAACAAATATTAAAAGTATAAAAAGACTTACAAATTCCCGAATTGATACATGTAATATTAATAAATATAAACTCACTTGACCGTATGTGAATTGTAAAACATACCCTGGTGTTAGTGGTGATTCTAGTTGCATCTTGGTATTGTTTGTGATTTCAAAATTTCCAAACTTGTGTGTGTTTAATAACACTTGTATGTCTCCAAATAAAAAGCCAAACAATAAAAATAACCAGATATGAAAAACAAAATAATTAAAAATCGAGATCAAGTTATACTTTTTTCTGGCAAGGAACGCATTATCGTAATTTACATTAGTTTATATGGGAAAACGTATTTCACTATACGAGTAAAAATCTGGAAATTTTGGAACAAATTAAACTCGTTAAGCGAGGTTCCAATGTATATTGATACAAAATAATTTCGATTTTTTTCAAGAAAATGAACAACTTTTTTTATACAATATATAATGTCAGTTGTCAAAATATATAATGATAATATAGTTTATATTGAAGTTGGCTGAACTAATTATACTCGTGGAACACAACGAAATTTCTTTCCGAGCAAAGACTGCAAAGCCTACTATTAAATTTGCATATTTATATATTAATAATTGTAATTTGTAAATTTGTCAAAACTTGTAATTATACCAATTCTGTGAAATATGACTAATATGTATAATGTTATAAATATAGAATCTGTATTTCAATTAAGTTTATTTAAGGTTTGAAAAACAATTTAGTTTTCATTGAAATTACAGAATTTATTGGTCAGATTTCTAAGAATTGGACGGAGGCACTCATGATTTTTTAATTTAAATAAATTTACGTCAATCAACTATCGATCATAAAATATAAGGATACCTATGTTTGACACGCACGTGCAATTCCTATGAAATATATATATATATATTCACGTGGAATAAAACGTTATGAAAATTGTTTTATATAATCATGATTGGTTAAATTAATGAATTAAAATAGTCAACCCAAATAAAAATATTATTTACTAAATTTCAATTTTTATTTCAGTACTTAGTTAATTGGAATGAACCAATGTTGAAGCAAGTTTCGAATCTGGGAACGAAATATAGCGAATGGGTGCATTCGCCTGTCAATAGGAAGTTGCGTATTTTCGAAAATCCTTTCCTGGAATCGCTTACCATCACACCTTGGTATTTCGTACCAATTGTTTGGATTCCAATCATTCTGTACTACATTCATAAAGGCCATCAGACTTACTCGAATATACATAAAGGTACGTTGTTTAAGCATAAAAATAAATAAATTTAAAATTATATTTATCTTTACTTTTTTATAAAAGTTGATTTTATGGTGGATGCTCGTCGATATATAAAAATAAAGTTAGAACTCGGTTAACGTTACCTCTTATAACGAAATCCGTAATTTCAAATCCCATTTTATATAAAAAAAAATCAATTTAACCCTTTGTACGACAATCATAAAACAAATATTGGCAAGAAGTTTTAATAGAAAATAATCATAGCTCAATCAATAAGTTTCGAAAATGTTGATGAAGAGGATGTTAACACTTTATTGAAGATGCAGAAATTGATCCACAAACCTTCCACTGCGGTTTAGAAAACCTTATTCATTTTTTTACGAAGTACCTTTGTAAACGAAGTTTCGCTTAACGAAGATTTTGTGGAAAGAATCCTATTCAATACTCGAGATATGACTGTAAAATCAATTGTCTTGTAGATATATTTGCATTGATCTGTAAATGAATACTATTATCAAAATACGTAGACATTTATATATAACATTCGTAATATGCGCTTTCTGTTATAATAAAATGATGTTATTTAAAAACGGAACTAAAATTTAGATTATTATTTTTATCATTTACGCAACTTCTATTGCTTTAAGAATAATATAAAATTTAAAAAGAATATTGAGTTGGAATGAATGAATAAAATATATGACTTTTCTTTCATAGTTTCCTTTTGATTTACGTATATATTTTTATTAAATAATACAACATTTATGAAAATAGTCTTCTTAATCTTAAATAAATATATTTCTTATAAACTATTTTAATTTTGTTTCAGAATCAAATTCAGTTATTTGGTCTGTAATATACTTATCAGTAGGTGTTGTGATGTGGACTTTACTAGAATATTCGCTACATAGATGGGTTTTCCATCTGGTGCCATCAGGGAAATCACGAGCTCTAATTTGTTTACATTTCACTATACACGGATTACATCACAAGGTAAGTTATTTAATAATAAATAGTGCAGTTCTTGTAATCATACTTATTTATTAAACGTTTAATAGCGTGCACAGATTACTTTCAATAATTAATTCTGTGCAATTTAGATAAAAATCTACGTGTTTGTGGGTGTTTAAACATTAAAAATGAATGATTATTATTAATTTTTAATTTATGAGTAAAACACGATATTATACCAACAATATAAATAGTTTTATTAATAGTTCTTCATTATTTATATAGGTTTGTCAAGAAAGTAATGTTTTGTTCCTGTTATCATTTGAAAGATGTCACTTTTAGGTTAATTTAGAAACCATTTGCGATAATCAATATTCTGGTCGACCTACTGAAGTTTATTATAACCAAATCACAGTCATAATTGAATCGGATTGTCATATAACTGTGCAAGAGATGAATCAATATTTGCAATATACATCTCAAACGCAATGAAATCGTTACATTTTTCATCATTTCATAATCATCATCATTTGTAATGAAAAATAGATCGTCTACAAAAACATCAATCGAAAACGAACATGATCCAAACGTGATGAACCAGCACAAATCACATCGAAAGCTGAATTGCATCAAGAAATATCATGGTATCAATTTGGTGGGGTTACTAAGGTGTTGTGTATTTGAGCTGCATTCAAGGATCTAAACCAGAGGTTCCCAAACTTTTTTGTGTCGTAGACCCCTTGCCATGTTTTTCGGTTTTAGGTAGACCCCCTACTTACCTGATATTGATTTTTTATAAATTTATTATTTATATTAGGACATAATTATTAAGATCTTTGCTCTGAGACTGCGCGTATGCTTGTAACAAGATGATACTAGTATATCATTATGTGCAGGTTTTTACAAGTTCAAAATGTATTGCGACCACAAAGCGAATGCCTACATCCTACAACTTACACAACTTTATAAGCATATATAATATATTTTTACTTCATAGGTACTTTTATAAATAATGTATATGTCTTTATATTATAAGATAGTATAATGTAAGTAAATAAGTACTATCAGTGTATGTTGAGATCCACTATCGTGGACCCCCATTTTCATTTCATGGACCCACAAATTTTTTTTTTGCTGACGTAGACCCCTTGCAGGTTGTCATAGACCCCTGGGGATCGATATAGACCACTTTGGGAATCACTGATCTAAACAATCAATTCAGTTTACTGTCAACAACTAATAAAACTGCAGGAAGGTGATTCTTGCCAACTAGATCTCATTATATCGATATTATGTTAAGTTCCTTTTTGGCAACAGAATGCCAAGAAGTGCAATATATAAAAACAACTATAATACTTATTGAAAAATATTAAGATTTAATTTAAACTTAATATGTTCATTGTTTAATTTTTAAACTGATGTTTCGCAAAATATTAATATTTATTTCTATTTAAAATATATACTTATTCAGTTAAGTGTGTTTAAAAAAAACTACACATAGTATTTACATGTTGATTAATATTTAGTAAGATTTTAATAAAATTTTCAATATTTATTTAACAAGAAAATGAAAATACTACTATCCATACATACTATATTTTTACATTTTCATATCTAAAACATAACAAGTTAAATAATTATCTAGGTTATCTAGGTTAAAAAATCAAATCATATTTGACTGCTGCAATAAATATTATTATTAATTTATTTTAGGTTCCTTTCGATACTCGAAGATTAGTATTTCCACCAATTCCGGCGATTTTCATACTGGTTTTAGGACACACGTTGTTATCTTCAATCATTCCAAAGTCCATGATTCACTTACTTCTTGGAGGTATTATATCAGGTAAAACAATTTTTAATTAAATTCATTAATTTACATATCTTTAAATTGTATATTTCATATACAATACTAATTTATCTACATTTTACTGAGATAATAATGATACTTATAATTAAAGTAAACATTTTGTATCAATTTTCAATAGATTTATTGATATAACTCAACAATCTATAATAATTTATTAATCTAATCATACCATTATTAAATTAATTATATCATTAGTCTTAATTTCAAATATGTAAAATTAATACAGAAATACTTCGTATAGTGCGGATAATACTGTTTGATAAGTTGCACTATATATAATCTAGATCTGTGTTCTTCAACCTGTCTTATATAAACTTTATAATTGTTCATTTACAAAATGATAAACTTAAATTGATTTTCATTCGGTTTAGGTTATTTAATCTATGACATGATTCATTTTTACCTGCATTATGGTACACCTGATATTGGTGGATATTTATACAATATGAAGCGAATCCACAATCAGCATCATTTCACTCATCACGACGCTGGTAAGTATAATTAATTAACTTTTAAATGTAATTAAAAACTATCAATGATCTTTTACAGCGTTCGGAATAAGTAGCAACTGCTGGGACAAATTGTTTGGAACTATAATTTATCTAAGGAAATTAGGAATGGGAATTAAATGGAATTAACAATTTAATCAAATTATACGTAGTAAAAGTAATTAGAAATTATTAAACACTACTTAAGTATTATTTCGAAGAAAAAAGAAGACAACTGTATTACTAATTTGCTATCTAAATAATTAACAATAATTTATTTCATAAAAATACAATTGGCTATTAACAACAGTCTTTGCGATCTTTTATATACCTTTAATATTTAATAAACTAAATTTATTTAATAAAATGTGGATCATGATGAAAATTGTAAATTAAACGTCTTTTGTTATTTACATAATTCGAATTAGACTGAAAAGCGAATAACAAAAAAATGATGATCATCATCATCAAATATTCAGTTACTGATATTTGATGATCATCATTACCAAACTTCTTAAATAAAATTAATTTATCTTTTACTTTAAACACTGGAATTGAAAGTTTTTTTTTTATATTTAGCTCAATGTATAATTTTATTTAAAAATAATATGTATAGTAATAATAAACATCAATAGCCCTTTGTATCAGTTAACTTTTTTGAAATTATATATATTTATTTTGTTCTTTTTATATCTGTATGTTTGTTTTTGTACGACTGATGCGATGCAATAAACTTTATTATTATTTTTTAAATAATAAACAAAATTTATTCTATAACTATATACAATTGAAGACAGTTTTTCTGTCCATGTATAATTACACATTACTCACCTTAGAAGTATAATTTTACTTACTTTATTATACTTGTTCATTCTCTAAGAATCAATTAATATGAAAAAAAAAAACGTTTAAATTATTAATTGTATAAAAGTACAAACATTGATAATTGTCTAATAACTGAATCTAACATATTATTTCTTCAAATTCAATTATAATATTATTTGTTAGTTAACTCCTAATTTAAGTTCCAGTACAAGTTAGTAGAAAATAATCAAATATTTAAAAATAGTATTTATATACATTATTTAATATAATATAAATATTACCTGCGATTTTACTTAAATTGAGTATTCTTCTAGATCAATGAATGTTTTTTTTTTGTATATATTTTAATAATTCACCACCTGCCAACATTTTTGGCAATAAGTAGAATTTTTTTGTGGCAAAAAAAGAAAATAAAAACAGAAAAACAAAATACCATGCGCAGAGTGGAACGATTTCCCATCGGAAATCTTCCTATAGTCTATGAATGTAATAGTTAATATTATTTTGGTTTAACTGCTATAATTTAAGTCGTTAATTTCTTGTTACAAGAATTTTGTTTCAATAAAGAAAATAATGTTTTTTTTTGTTAAATTGCTTTATTCATAATTTTCCACTCGTCTCACTTTCATTTCTTAAATACAATAAAATCTTCACATTTCAACAAGAATAAAATTTTCCCTCGCTAAGTACTCGAGTCTAACATACTTTTAATTATTTATAATGCTGAATACAGGTATCGTATTATTCAATAACAACGGCTCCTTAATATCGCTAGACCATCAATAAACATTTCCCATAACGTTTAATTAGTATTAAGAGATATACGTGTATATATAAAAAATAATAGTTCATAAAAAAAATATTAAAAAAAAAACAATAAAAATCACCAACCACAATATTAATACCACGTTCGTTTCGTATCATCAATCTGCCTTGTCTGGGACAAGGCATTAATAAAAAAAGAAACTTAAACTAAACGACTCAATGAATGAACAATTCTGGAAAGTTTTGCTCGTAAACGGGAACCGACGGTTTCTTCTCGTTCGTTGATTGCCTCGGTCCGTTCGTTTCGCTCAGCGACTTGAATATCTCGTTCAATTTATTCTGAAGAATATCATGCTATAAACAATTTACCATTCGTTGGATACGATCGAGTGTTAGTAAAGATGATGTTGGTAAATGGGTTTATGGCTGGATCGTAACTTACCTTCGGTTGAGTGCGTTTCGTGAGCTCGTTGAAGCTGGCAGTTCTGAAAGTGTGGCTGATCTGCTCTCGCTTTTCAGCTTCAGCCTCCTTCCTGGCCTCAGGGTTTTCGCTGAGCACGTGTTTCATGCTTTCGAAGGTTAATTCTTCTTCAGGCAACTTCTAGAATGCATCAATAAAAACGGATGATGGTTAAAGTGTATTTCTATTTTTTTTTTTAAATAGGGTTTTTAAAGGAAGGGCTTACTCTGGGACTATGGAGTTTGGATTTGATTGGGGTTTCCAAATCGGAGGTCTTTGAGTCGCTCATAAAGCTGAGAATACCGTCCCAGCTCTTGTGAGGAGATATATTTGCGGGACCGGTGCGCAAGGGGAAGTATTTTTTTAAAACTGTCAGTAAGTTCTGGAATCGAAGGGTTTTTGAGATACAAAATATAAGGAGATTGAACGCACCCTTTGCACACCCGGGGAACTCGAGGCGCTATCAACTTCTGTTCCTGTTGCCAACTCGACGACGCTGCCTTTGGCGCTGGTTTCCACCCAGCTGTGGCGTTGAGTTCCTGCCATTGCACTGGTACCTCCGGCTCCGTACGGTGAAATATGCGATAACCTAGTTGGATCTAGTCCTCCGGCTTTCACGTACTCGCAAACGGCCATCTGTAACAATGTAGAAAAAAACAGTTGTTATGCTCAGAACTAAGTCGATAATTTCCAAGGGCTCACCTGATCGATCATCAGATGCGGCAACTTGTTAGCTAATTGGCAATTGGCAGCATACTGTTCTCGAAGATCGGGCAGAAGATGAGTGGCGTCGCGTTTCCTCGCTTTGCCAATTCTGGCTGCGTAATCGTAAAGGGCCGGAATTGGAATGACTACCGGGATCAAGGTTAACAACGAAATGACGATGGCGTGTAAGTGGAATTTCTGCGATGCGGATAATATTGTGCTGTTCAAAGCTAAACTTTGTATACTGAAATAAGAATAGAAAAATACAAAAATTGATGGCACAAATCTGATGCATGCTAAACTCACCCTAACACTAATTGTAACAAATCAATAACCGTTTCGCCGCTCGACAGTTCGACGCATAGTAAAGCCAACGTCGTGTAAACAGCTTCGATATTCTCGACGGTGTTTGTGTCCATTTGCAGATTGGTATATAGAGCATCGTAGATGATTGGTCCATGTTTATTAATGAATATCAAATCTGGCCTCGAGGATTTTTCCAGGGTCAAATCGAGCTCCTTGACGTTGATACTGCGAATGCAAATTATACCGTAACCTTGCGTTTCTCAACTATATATAACGCTACTTACGTGGGCTTAATGAGCTTCTCTAGATTATGGTGTCTATCTATTAGAGTGTGCAGAATCCTCTGCACTAGCAACCTCATTTCGGGATCCGGCGCTAATGACATCCTCAGAAGAGGCTCCAAGAACGAAATTGGGAATGTTGTGTTCAAATGTATTGTCTGGTATTTGGTGCCGACCTAAATGAACACATCCAAAACTCAATTAGAATATTCCAATCGAAACTCATTCAAGAAACCAACCTTCAATAAACTTTTCAGGAGAATGCTCTGCAATAAATTGTCGGCTTGCGAGTTACTGTCTACCAGTGGATACGGAATTTTGTTCATAATAAACATCATGATTTCGATCTTCTGATAATCGGGCAAATGATTTGCGAACTCTCCGAGAGCGTTGATTAAAGCCTCCTGGTAAAGTTTCTCTTCGGTTTGACTCATAACGTGTCGTACCGAATCCTTCAGATGTCCCAACAACGAGTTAATTATCTCAAGCACCGAAGGACCTAAAATGGAGCATAATTACTTCTCATATTAAGTGTATAATTCAAACTATAAGTACATACCAACACTTTCTACGGCAGCAATTGCAATAATCTTAGAGAGCACATCGACGATACTGGTGCGTATTGTAGGCGTAGCCTTAGTATTATCGTCGAGATGAGCCATGAGAGTTTCAACCACAGTGTAGGAATATTGAGCCTGCAACAATTCGAAATCAATATTCTGCAGCGGTGCGGCGCGAGTACCTAATTACTAATTAACTTTCTTAATTACACAATCAGAATTGCATATGAATGATAATAATTAATTTACCTGAATCGAAAATATAATTATCCTAAAAGTATGTATTGCGAATTGATTAGGAACCCACAGCTCGTGAAGATCAAAGTGTCTGCAAATTAAATGTTCATAATTAAAATAAAGTAAATATGTAAAGTAGCAAATTTTACTTTAAAACTGGTCGTAAGACAGCGCGAATGTGACCAAAGGAAGCCCTTCCGACTAATTCCCTCATACAAGTTTCCGCCAACATCGGAGGATCTGCTTTACTGTCAGGTGCAGATTCTCCACCTCCCGGTTCTTTCATATGAAAACCGGAGTCCTAAAAATAAATACGTGTTAAATCCTGCACTGTAATTTTCTCCAAAGTTTCCTATACAACTAACTTGCATGTTAAATAGAAGACTTGGTACTATTTTGTCCATGTGGACCGGTTCCCAAATATTTTCAACTAAATCATCGGAAACTGTCTTCCTTACAACAGCCTGCAGACCTCGGATTCCTGCAGTCCTGATGTTATCTCTAATTTCCCTATCATCGCCGCTGTGGCACATTGCTGAAAATTTGCTAACGAAAAAATCATATCTTCTGTGATATGACGGAGTGTCTTCTTCGATGTTAGCAAATTTTACAAACTGAAAATAATCAATATCGTTGTACGATCGAAATCAATTACCATCTTTTTTTGTAATCTTACAGATTGAGTAGCTAATATCTGAAGTTGAGGCTCGGTGGACTCTAGTAACTTCTGCACCATCTTAAGAAAACTCTCGACGAATAAGTTCAGTGTTTGGGCGTGGCATGCTACCAACAATTGATCCATAGCTTCCATGGCGATAATAACAAACCTAAATATAAACATTTACTTTCATTAAATTTGATATATAAAGTATCATTTAATATATTTATTTAACATTAGCAAGTAAAAAAAGCATAAACTAAATATTTTTGTAATTTTACTCTTATTGATTGTTTCAAACAAAATATATAGTTATCAATCAATTAATTAAAATAAAACGAACCAAAGAAAATATAAATAATAATTAAACATTTTCTCATAACTAAAGCAAAGACAGCCTAAAGTATATGTGCATTTTAAACGGCTTATAAAAGCACACAATAGGAATAATAATTATTTAAGCAATCATTTCAACAATATTAGAAAATGTTTTCTTATTAAGCAGTGGCATGTGGTCACATAACTTTCTTTAAGAGGTTACTGAGTAAAATTTAGTATATTCATTTTGATGAAATATGTGTATGCTATTTTGTTTATTATTATTATTTTGTAGTTAAGAGAATAAAATAATTCAATTAAATTAGATAATATTAAAAGAGCTAATGCTTCACTAATATTTGATAAAATCACAGATTATTATCCTAAAACTGACTTCTAATTATTATTTCCTTAACCGCTTAACTTAAAATAATACTCGTCTATCATGAAAATATCCTGTTTATAAATTTAAACACTGAATAAATTCGGAATATGTTACAGCGTCAAAGAGAGTAACCGATATGTCAATAATAAATTAGTGAAATTACTGTTTGCAATAATCTATATTCATAACAAAGTTAATAAATAATTGAAAAAATATGAACAATTTTTTACAATACAATTGTTAAGTAAAAAACTTAAACAAGCAACTTAAAGGCTAAAATACCAGTTAAAAGGAATAGATAGATATGAAGAAATACGTTCAGGTATAAGAAAAACTTGTATCTTATGTTTATTTTGAATTATAGGGGAATAAAAGCGAAAAGAACATTTATTGGGTTATATTTTTTGTAATATTTATTTACAGTTATTTTTTACTTTTAAAGTATTATGTTTTTTTTTTTGACTTGGGAATATAAATTTTGTATAATATTTCTGGTCAATAAATTATGATTATTGTATTTATAATAGGTGAAAGATATTGACATTGTTTTATTAATTTTAACTTTTCATATGGCTATATTAATATATTGCTATAGATAAAAGTGATACAATATTTTATCTTATTAATAATTTACATTACTTCAATATAATTATTTTTCATAATTATTATCGGAAAATACTTTATATACATTTCAAATAAGATGCACAGAAGTTCTGATGTTTTATAGTAAATTTAGAATCAAAGTATTTTAAGAAGGTGTCTTTCGTTATTCCTGTTTTTTTATTGTTCTTGTTTTACTTCGTGCTACTTTACGCACGCAAGACTTAGGCCTGTCACCCTTGCATTAATAGCAAAAAGTTTTACTCACGCGATTATTCTAAAAACAGAAACAATCATTATGAATGAAATTATCTAACCCATTTTTTTTACAGAGAATGAATAAAAATAAACTTGGTGTTAAAAATCCGGTTTCAAACAGTCCATGATAATGGCGGAAATGATTACCCGCACTATGCGAGGTATTGCTTACATTTGTATTTATATATATTGTACTAAAAATAGAAACACGTTAAGCTTTACTAAATACGGTTAAAATTATATAGAATTTTTTTAGATGCAATTGCGTTGCATTTAACTACAAGTTGAGTAGATTTATAGCAAAAAAAAGTTGAATAACAGGTTTAAATTAAGTTCTCATTTTATAAAATAGGAAATTTAGTAGAATTTCAACAATAAATTGTAGAGCAAGTGATGCTATAGAAATATTTTTATAGTTTATGATAAAATATTAATACCAGAAGTAAACAAAACTTATCTAATAAAATATATTCATAACTTGTATTTATTACTGTTTACTATACACTAGATCCATGTATAAACAATGTAGTTCAAGATAAGTTATTAATTAAATTTATTAGGGAATTGCAGCAAGAAGTTAAAAATTGAAAAAGCAATTTGGAGGGAAATTATTACCATTTTACATTCTAATTAGAAATCTAATCTATATTTATGAACTATATATATATATAACTTGAGTAATAACGCGCTTACGTAATTACAAATATTTATGTGTGACATAGAGTGGAGTAAATATAAATCAAGGTTTCCACAAATAATCAATTAGAATTGATTTGATCCAATCTTCTATGACATGCCAAATCCATCTGCCCATTTACATACATAAGTATTGTATTGATTTTTATGGGAAATTGAAATTGAAAGGTTTACATGACCCAATTACTATACATGCATAATTAATGTTAATCTTACCCATGTCTTTTCCTGTATATATCCCTGGCGGCTTTCTGATACAAATACTCCCCAATCCTGTCAAGCTTCTCCGGTGAGCTCAGAGAGTAGAAGGTGAGCTTCTCCATGTTAGCCTTGACAAGACCATCCTGAGGAGTCACTGGGAATATATTATCAACCAACCTCTTGTACCTGGGCCGCAGGGCACTGCAGCAGCCACAACAACCTAAAAATTGCCACATGTTATAATACATCTCTCTGCTCTGCACAATATGAAATAGCGAATGATTAACTTAGATGATGATGCGAAACCGGGAAACTCACCGAACATTATTAATAATTATTGTTTTAATTAACTCCGTGAAAACATAGCGAACGTCAAAAAGCACCAGCCAAATGTCAACTAGTTGCTTGTTCGGACAGATGATTTTGACGCTTGTCAATATTTACATAACGCATACTTATTAGACTGATAAATAATTTATAAAACAGTTTCTATTGTAATTATAAATGTTTTTAATGAATTTCTAGATAATTGTACTATTTATTTTAGTTTTTTATCCATAAAATGAATATATTCTAGTCAGCGCCATCTATTACACGTTGATGGTTCGAAATTTTAGTTGATGACTTTTATTTGTAGATGGATCTGGTTTAAGAATCAATATTACATAATTTTGAATAAAATTTAAGCAGTAATTATTTTATAACTTACAACCGGCGTCCGTACATTTTTGGACCATCTGTTCGAAGACTTCTGTCACGTCGCTAGCCTCGAAGCAGCATCTCACCAAAGACATCTCTATTACTTATTTTTTACTGTATTATTATAACAAAAATATATATGATTTAATTTCACTAAACGACTTATTGTTAAGTTACCACAGATAATTAAAGAAGAGGAATTTATAAATAAATATCTTCAATTTACATTAAATAAATATATCATTTATTTAGTTTAATTTAGTTTATAACACGATTTAGAATTTATTAACGAGTATTATTACTTCGATTCAGGTACATGGTTCTGGTTAGGTAATCACTTGTGTAATCCCATTGCATCGGTTGTTGGGTGGATCCGGAATATTGTTTACGTATCTTCTTTCTTGGGCGTCGCTTTATTTTGTTATTGTTGCAATGTTTCAGATCGAGAAAGCGACGCCGTGACGCCCGTTTGGTGCGTCGCTAACCTACTACTAACCCAATTTCTGTTTCGAATCCTTTCCATTTTAATATATTGCGCATGTTCCTATCGTAAAGGGATGCTCGTAGGGGTAGGTAATGTATAAACCGGAAATTTCTGAAATGTTTCCAAATCTAGACCAGTTTCCGTTCGATAATGTTCCTTTTTATTTCGCATTCTTCTTTCGATTAATTAGTTAAGGTTTCCTTCATTTACTTCGATCGTGGAAGATTCATTTCTGGATTGGCTATTGTAGGTGGGCCTCGCTAATGTGCAAACGTTGATTGCAATATTTGATACATCGTCGGTAAATGAGAGGCGGAATGTAGGCGATGGTCAGTTATTGCCGTATCCTTCTTGACTTAAAAGGCACTGCCTCTTGCTCTTTCTTCCACATTACAATTTTGTTTTTCATATTCGCTTAATTCTGTTCCATTTGATAATTTTCATGCATCAATTTCGTACCATACTTATATCAATCATAAATTACTAACAAAATTAATAACGTTGACTTAAAATCAGAGCCGAACCGAAATTAATTTCGTTCCGTTTTACGGTTTCGTTAAATGTAAATGTTCGTTAAATGTAAATTGTTAGGTTTCGGTTCGTCTAAAAATTTCGGTTCAGTTTCGGTTTGTTTCAGTTTCAATTAAAATTAAAAATTAAAAAAAAAATTAGGTTAAAATTAAAATTTAAAGTCGAATCGAATATCAAATATACCGGTCTGAATTTTAGAACCGGTACACTACAATCAAAGTTTTTTTTTTATCGCAAAATAAAAATTTCAAAAAGTTCCGAATGATACCGAATTCAGACAAAAATTATTTTCCCTGTCCATCGTCATATACTTTATACCAATTGTTTTGTGATTAAAATGAAATGTCTAGAAGTATATTTTGTTTGTTTTGTTGTTTTGGTTTACGGTTTTCGGTTCGTTTCCCGTTCGACTCTGCTTTAAATACAGTTTCCAATTCTTCCTTATCTATTACATATTTATTATATTTTTAATATATTTTTATTAGATTTTTCAATTTTTCTTCGCTATTTTTATTTATTTTATTTTGAATCTTAAATAATAATAATGTTTATTACATCAGTCGTACCAAGAAACATATACAGAAATAAATATGAATCTTATTTTTTCAGTTCTTTCCATTTATTTATCAACTATGTACCTTATTTTTGTCCATCATTATAAAAATTACTAAATTTATCATAAATGTAAATATCCACAATTTCCATTTTATATTTCTTTAATTTTCAATATTCTTCTTTCATTCTTTTATTCATTCGTCAATTTACAAACTTATTTTTGTGAATCATATAAAAAAATAATTAAATTTACCTAGAAATTTAATATTTTTCTTGACATAAAAAGTACTGCCTTTTATTCCTTATTTCACATTTTTTTAGTCTCAATCTTGCGTCCGTTAAATATAATTAAATTTACCATGAAGATTAATATCAAAGTGAATTACTAAGCAAATTCTCATTTATATGAAATTTTGTATATTCCATGTTAGTACTTTGTTTGTAATTCCTTTATATTGCGTATATGAATATATTTATCAATCAATGTTAATTACGTGCAGACACTTTCAATAAAATTTTAAAAAAATGTCTAAAAGACCAATTTCCTTTTCATTCTTTTGAGTTATTTTTGTTTATCGTTTTCTTTGTGTTAAATTTGTTGTTATTCATAATTGTTTCTGAACTAAATTAATTTAAATCGTCGTGGGAAACTTGTATTTTTTAATAAAAAACATATTGTTTTTTAAAGATTTTTATTTCAACTGCGTTATATGTCTGCGGTATTTGACCATTACAAATTAATAAATTGCTCTTTCTAGGTTTTTAAAAAGGAGAATCAGACAAAAAAATTAACATCATTTCCGAACAGAAAATAGCAGCGAAGATAACATACTTAAAGTTTATAAATCCTGCAAACATAAAATAAGCCACATTCAGACTATTGAAAGAGTAAAGCTCAACACTGTATTCAACATGTCTACATCGATCGACAAAAATGTATCCTTGAGAAGGCTTACAAAATAATCCTTTACCATCCTTCAAACACACTTCTTGAGAGCACTAGTTCAACCCTAGTTTCCTATCCAATTACAAGGGTAGTTGAGTTATTTTAGAAACGTATCCTAATCAGACTTTTGTAACAGTTATAAGTAAATTTACAACTGTATTACATATTGATACAAATATTAATACATAGTTATATCCTAAATGGATTAAATAAAATATACAATTTTTTAAATGAATATCATACAAATATAAATATTTAAAGAATATTTCTACGTGGGTCACTCTGACCTATCCGTAGCACTTACGGGATAACAATATTAAATGTTTATTGAATTATTTAAAACAGACATAAATGACTCTTCGTACTCAACAGTAAAAATTCTTCATTTTACTAAATCTTCTAGTAAAAATAAATCATATTTAGAATTCAATAAATTTCTAACATTCTTTACATCGACATTTTAGAAACCTATTAATTCAACCATCTGGATAACTTTATTTATAATTTCTTGGTTATTTTTTTCTGGTAAAAGTTCCAGTCAAAATAAAATGCGAACTTCGTTATATCAAAGATTCGTTATAAGAGGTAACGTTAACCGAAGTATGCTATAATAATAACTAAACTTCTTATAATCTTTCTATGTTAAATATTAAATACATATGTATATTGTTAGTTTGATTACTAATATATTTGTACATCAGCATTTAAGAAAGAAACCATGCATGCATGTTAAAAGTAATACGTGGATAATTTCCATAAATAATGAAAATAGAAGGAATGAATAATTCGTATGGACGTGGAGCGTTTTAATCGAATGGTAAAATCGCGTAATTAACGTCTCGGTTTCATGTCGGAATTAAAATCGTGGCTGGCGATCGGCTTGTGACCAATTTGTGATTTTAATGAATGAACACGCGAACAACCTCACTTTCGAACTTTTTCAACGAGAAGTATGACATCAAACAAAAAAAATGAAAAGAAGAATCAATAATAATGATAATAAAAGATGAGGTATTGTAGATGCATTTGGTCGCGTGTGTTGAAATAAAGGAAAGCCACAATATTCTTGGTCCGTGATAAATGTACGCTTTTCGCGTGCCGTTTGATAAATTGCAGAGCATGTCCATAATTGATCCAAAGAGGATTAATTAAGGTCAATCTATTGCATATGTAGCCGCAGCCTAATTTATATTTTGTTTATACAATCATAAGAGATAAATCAACTTTAACGCGCAGGCAACAACTTTGTGTTCGTGACTCGGATAATTGCAATTTCTGCTTATTAACTCATTTAAGCCAAAAAAAAGAACACAAACAGCAAAAACCTTTAATTACACAAAACGACAACGTAAATGCAACTAAAGAGGCGACGCCTTTCATTATACTTGAGTTATTATAAATGGCAATATGTTCATTAAGTGATAAAGTTTCAACACAATATACTAGTCTTAATACACAATCCAATTATAAGCAAGTGTTATCATTTAAATAAGTCACATTTGTATTCAATTATGTATCATTTTAACGTAAAAGTTATAAAAATATTTAAAAAAACTGGCATTTACATAACTGTTTAACTGGTAATTTAGTCAATATTTATAATTTGTCTTATCTAAGTGATAAAGTTATGATATAACATACAAATACAGGGAACCTCGCTCAACGAGTTTAATACGTTTCAAAATTTCCGGATTTTTACTCGTATAGTGAAACACATATATACACAAGTTTTTAAAATGATTTAGAAGGCTCGCAATCGGGGACTTCTCTTCTTATCGTCACTCGTTATGCAGAACGTCGCTCGTTAAGGAAAATTTTTCTTACAATTAATTTTGCTCGTTAAGCGAAATCAAATATTATACAGAGAAACATAATTTGTAGCATTTGAATAAATAAATGTAAAATAACATTTAAAGTAAATTTTAATTATAAACTATAAAAACGCAAATGGAGGTATTAATTTGATTTATATTATATTTCATTAAATTTGAATAGATTAATAAATAATTATATTTACTGTAAACTAAAGTAACCTCAACGAAATAAAAATGACGGTCGAACAAAATAGTAACGCCTCTTTTAGGACATGTTGTTTTTGTATACTAAATCATAATAACGTATTACCATCGTAACTGTGTAAGAAACTGAACAAGTATATATTATCTCTAATTTTCATTCCAATGCAAATATTTAATTATATTAAATATATTATTTTAGATTTCTAAAATTAATAATGTTCGAAAAATGCTTGATAAAAAAATATTCACTTAAATGAGACAATAAACTTGTAATATAATTAATGTGCGTCATTGAAGAATGTGCGAAGAAAACACTTGAGGATTATACCAAAAAAATGGATCCGTCTGGAATCTGGAAGAGTGGTTAGTTTATCTTCGTATTAGCTTTCCGCAACTATCGATTATTAATGCGTCCGTGGGCGTACCTAGCCATCAATTAGAAGGATTAAGCAATAAACAATAATTAAAATTATTAATTTCACGATGAATTGAATTACGCCTTCTAATCCAATACGCCATTAAAAACCTACTCGATACATATATTTCATCCGGTATTTACATACGGAAGATGCGTATGTAAATACCATTACATAAAATAAATGCGAATCATCCACGAAGCGAAGGAGCGCAGTTAAAAAGGAAAAACGTTCGAACCTTTGAAAATGAGACTTATTTGTTCGGAGTGAAATCTTTACGACCTCAATTATATACTTTAATTAAATTCCATTATTTATTGCACCGTATTTACTATTATCTCGTATTCAATCTAGTTTCAGATATATTTCACTATGATCATTTTTAATTGTGTATACCTTCGGACTAGAACGAAGTTTTAATCTTTGAATTCACATTTAAATTTACGATTATTATTAAAATAATTGTTTTTAATATATGAAAAAAAATATTAACTTACTTTAATTTTAGATGTTTTATTTATTTATTTTTTGTGAAGAACAAGTAAAAAGCAATAACTAATAATAATCAAAATAAATAAAGAAAAATCCAATATTTATTTACAACGTCAAAATAGATTCACAGTTGGAGCAAAAACATTACTTGAATATTTTAATATTCAATTAAATTTAAATTATTAAATTTATTGTTAAAATTAAGTAATGCGATTCAAATACATATAAGTGATAAGTGATCAGTACAGTTTAATAGAAAAAAACATTGATTTTATTTTGAAAACTCTTTCATTTGTAGCACATTTTTTTTTAAACAAAAAATTCTAGCAATTATATTAAATTCAATTAACATTTTGCTTTAACTTCATCCAATCGATTATCACAACGTTGTTACAGTTTCTATGAAATTGCGTAAACAAACAAAGAAAAGCATTGTCTCGAAATTTGCACGAATGGGTTTTCAGTAGTCGATGTTTGGAAAACATGATAATGCAAATACGCAAACAATTACTGAGCGGTTGTGCCAATTAGATGAAAGCCCCAATGGAAATTCGCAGGAATAAATTAAAAAGATCATTGCGAAAATACGTCGTAATTACGATAATAGTTATAATCTCCCCTAATTAGAAGCGGTTCGAGTTTGCGAAAACGTCACGAAATTATTATTACGAATAATTGCGTTCGCGCATAGGCGTGCATATTCCGCATTTTATTTTCAAAGTGTATTTTTCTTGTTCGTTTTATAATTTCAATATCCTGTGATCCAATTAATTTTAAAACTGCCGAGGAACGTCGATCCAATCGATTCCACGACCTTGACACAATTTTTGTATGAGGGCAGTCGTCGTCTAGGGAGGCTGCACACTTGTATCTATTTGTGGAATGCAGGTCACATTGATTTTTCTAAATTTTAAAATAAAATTAGATTCAACGGATTAATCAATTATCTAAGCTATGTTGTAATTTCCGTTTTAATATTTCTATTGCATTTTTCTAAAGAACAAATACAAATTATTATGAAACGCTCGCCATCTGTAGGACGTTTGAATTCTGTTGAATAAACACTAGATGTCGCCACGATGAAATTTATCGAACTATTAATAAATTTTATTTCTCTTGAGTTACTAGTTTTACTTACTAATTTGTTAATGTTGTAGATTAAATTAGTGAGTAAAACCATATCGGTGAGTAAAATCCTACCGATATGTGACTGGCAAACGGCGTCGACAGGATCCAGCTAATTGTAGAAGAGTTTCTAGATGGAAGCTCATTATTGGAAGAAGAACTTTTTTTTATATAAATACACATTTTATAAGTTTTAACTGATTTTATTAGTTTGCTTCTTTAAAAAATCTACTATATACGTCTACTAAATAAATAAAACTTCATATTATATTCCAAAGGTTTCAATCAAAATGCAAATTTTATCAGGATAACTATAGCGTCGACTAAACTGTGTTAGTTGGGGTCACAAAATTAGAATTGATTTTTTTTAGGCGGGGAGTTGACATCTAATACATTTTTTTCCTTGAGATGTCACATATTATTTTTTGAAGTAAAACCCCAGTCCACCCCAGTCATGTATTAAAGGCCCCACTCTAAACTGTTGCCTCAAAATCTTAAATACAGTTGTCTACCTCGCAATGGAAATTTATCGGTTACAATTTCTATTATTTTGTTCCTAACTGTATTTTGTAACTTAAATATAATGGTATTTTATCTAGAAAGGACAAATACTCGAAGCGCATGAAAAAATTCTTTTTATTTCGCTTGAACAGCTCCAAACAACGGTATCATCAACTCGTTGTTGTTTTTGGTCACTGTGAGCAAACGCTTAGGGCCCTCAAATAATAAAACTCTAGGGCCCATGACTTTCTTGATCGGCCCTTCGAGAACTGACACTCCACTCCCGCATCATCAATTTTTGTAGGTGTTAAGAAATTTACTTTTAAATGTACATGCCAAGAAATATAAATTTATTTCACTTATATTTATCTAAATTTGATTCTATTTAAAGCTAATTAAATGGAATGAGGTTTTAAGCAATACTTACATATAAGCCCGGCTAGCTCAGTCGGTAGAGCATGAGACTCTTAATCTCAGGGTCGTGGGTTCGAGCCCCACGTTGGGCGCTTTCTTTTTATATTGATACTTCAATCTGTGAAACATTTTTTAGTAAGTCTAAGAACTGAGGTGAAAATCCGTTTGTAGATGTTCTTCTTTTTATTTATAAATTATTTAAAAGTTATTTACTCATATTTATTTTAATTTAATAAAATAATTCGACATTTATTTACTAATTAGTTATATAGATTTAAATTGTTTGGTAAGAATTTTTTAATAAATTGCCATATATACAAGTAAAAATAATTATTGTTCAATTTAATATGTTTAAACAAATGTTTCTAACATACATTGATTTTTCAATTGTATTAACATTATTTTAGTGATAAAGAAATTATTGGTTTTTTGAATGCATACTATGGAAGATATAAATGTGGTATTATTATGTTGTTATAGCCTTATAATTGCATAATTGTAATTAATTGTGGTAATAATATCGGTTTGTCAACTTAAAAAAAAGAATTATGTAATTAGTTACTTTTATCTATTTTCAAAGGAACATTCCCAGAAATGTTTAGTTTCTCGTTTTCTATGAAAAAATACAATATTTTAATATATTCATTGCTCGGTAATCAAAATCCCTTATCTATTTGGTGTGCAAAATTTAACTGTTTTAACTGTTATTATCATTGCAATAATGTGTTCTCTTTTTATATTTTTAAAATACGGTTCTTGTCTATAGAGATAATTGATCATTGTGTTCATTTTATAGTTAGTATTTTAAATAAATTAAAACGATCTTACAATATTTTTTATTATGTCATTAAACTATAAAATAAATAAAATATTAATTACACAATAAGTGTCATCACATTTGCAAATATTCATGTTTGTACTATTATATTACGTATATTGAAATTAATAATGCTGTCAATCTAAATTAAATGTCAGTTTTGATTAAATTAAACCAGTTTTATGATATAGTTATTACGTTAAAATTGATTAAAGATGTAGATTTTTTGTTAGAAAATGTTAATAGTAAAAGAAAATGTTGTTTCATTACATGAGCAATTTATTCATTTAATAATGAAGTATGATATTGAGAACAGATAATAATATACATGTTTTATCGTAAATTAACGTCCCAAACGAGGAGAGAACGGAGATTTACGGCCGAGTCTTGGTGAAAATGCTGAACGTTGGAAGAGAACTTCTGGTACTTCAGGATCTTGCATCCACTTGCCCTCACCCAAATTGATGACATATGCGTTCACATCTTCACCGGAATCCCTTCCCAGCCTCGGAACAAAGTCGTAAATGGATGGTTTACCTTTAGTGAACATGGATTGGTAGTCCTAAATACAAAAACACCACTTTGGAATATAATACACTTTGATTGTTAATAGAAAAACTTGCGTTTCGTCCATCGATTGCCGCTGATGTTAGGAGAGCAGAGACGAGGAGGACTGACAAAACGATGGCTTGACGATGCATGTTTGAACTGTTGGGGATGATGTAATGTTTGTTCTTTGGCCTGCAGGGTCTTATATACTGGATCTATTCGAGGTATCAGCAGGGGACGATAACAAGAGGATTAATTATAGACGAATTGGATTAACGTAGATTTGGCGCATAGTGTTCGCTCTTTACAATCAATTACAATAGTCCCTTGAGCCCCGAATTTCCATTAATTTTTCTCAATCTCATATTACATAGATTACGTAACTCAAATAGATTAGGATTAACTCAGTCTACCATAACGCTTGTTTTACACTAATTCGCCAATTTGCTAATTTAGATTAAATTTGTTACTAATCAAAATTAATAGACTAAAATTAATCTAATTAGCTCATTACAAAAGTATATTCAATAAGTAGATAATTTGAAAATAATGTTAATGAGGGTTGGAGAAAATTTTCATATATTTTTCTTAGGTAATATCAAGTATTTACCTATATATAATAAATATGTAATAAATAAGTAAACTGGATACTATATATATTTTATATGAATTTTATAAATTGGTTAATTTTAGTATTAAGAAAGTCACAAGCTTAATTATAAAAAAAATAGATAGAAATTAAAATACCAATTGCTATTTGTATGTGAATTGCACAACTTCAAAATATTATATTTTAAAGTGAAGAAAAAATTATGACAAAATTGCATTTGATTTTACAAGTATTCAATATTTCATTGCACACAATCAATCTTGCACTTATTTTGCAATCGTAAATTGCGCTGCAATTTACGCTGCAATTTTGGACGATCGTAAATTTCGTGAGATAGTTGATACCCTGAAGATAGCAGAAAGCAGTGTATTCACTGCTTTGTTCAAAATGGGTACCGCGTTCAAGATCAAAGTGGAACAAAAATAACAACGAGTTAATAATTCTGCTGTTTGAAGCTGTTCAAGCGAAATAAAAATGATTTTTCCATGCCGTATGTAACAATGAATGAAAACTATATCCATCACTACACTCAAGAGTCAAATCGGTCGTCAGCTGAGTAGACAGTAAAAGATGAAAGCCGTATTGTGAGGCCAAAGATAAATCGTTCTACAAGAAAGGTGTCGAAATGTTAGAAAAGCGTTGGTATGAATGTGTCTCTCTTGAAGGAGACTATGTCGAATATTGCCCAAAAGTTGTTGTTTTATTGGTCATACTACGAATTTAGTGAGGTGTTATATTGATAAAATCAATGTTAGTAAATATATAAATTAATATATGAGTAAATGAGCTACTAATAGCCGAATGGTTAAGTTGCCCTACCCACGATCAAACCGGCAACGGTTCAAATCCTAGTCAAAGCAGGCCCTTTGTAAGCCGTTTCGGTGCTTGCAGTAATAGCGCCATCGTTCATCACAGATGGACAGCGAAATGAATGAGGTTCAACATATGGACCTTCAGCCAAGTCGATGGGCAATGACAGTGTTAAAGTAAGGATAACAGCAGATTCACAGTGAAAGGAAATATTGGAATTATAGAGCATCAATATACTACTGAAGTTAACCTACAAGACAACAGCCAACCTGCAAATTAATAATAAAAAATTATCATAATGGTAACGGAGAGTTAAGGACGGATATTAGTCTGAGGTCGGAGGAAGACTTGGAAAATGCGGTCGAAGATCTCACCCGATACATGCAAGCAGCTGCATGAAGCTCTACACCTTCTCCATCATCCGTACGAACCAGCTACAAGGGTACAGCAAACGTACGTAACCTCGTAAAAGAGAAACGAAGGCTGAGGAAGATTTGGCAAACCACCCACCATCCGGATGATAAAACTCGCCTGAATAGAGCCAATAAACAACTCAGGAACTTATTAGAGAGCCAGAGCAACGAGGCGCTGCACGAGTATCTTGTAGTCTGTCTCCTACTGGAAGTAACGAACACTCACAGTGGAAGGCGACCAAGCATACGAAGCAAACAGAGAGAGTCGCCTCTTCGACAACCGGATGGTAGCTGGGCGAGGAGTGACAAAGAGAAGGCGGAGGTGTTTGCTGACCATCTGACAAACGTTTTTCAACCTTGCCCGGCAGGACTTGCAGGGGAAGAGGAAAACGAGATAATAGAATTTCTGGGGTCTCCATACCAAATGTCACTTCCCACTCAATTTAATGTAAGGCAGGTTAAGCTAGCTATACTAGAGTTAAACTTGATTACAGCAGAGGTCTTGATGCAGCTCCCCAGTATCGGCATTAGAGTAATAACGCTTATCTTCAACGCAATTCTGAGACTCGGTATCTTTCCATCACAGTGGAAGGTAGCCCAAATCATACTCATCGCTAAACCTGAAAAAAAAACGGACGCGGCGTCTTCATATTGACCCATCAGCCTCCTGACGGTACTGTCTAAACCAGCGGTCGGGGAACTTGTTTAACCATTACATCAAAATATTATTGCGTAAATCGATATTACCCCACCCATTCTGAAAAGAAAACAATCAAT